CAACTGAAGTGAATTTCAATCATATGATTGTAGAAAATTCCTCTTTCAAAGAAACTGAACAAAATCACATAAATATGCTGTAAGTGAACTGTTCATAGAACCTTGAACATGAATCAGTAATAGAGTTGATAACAATTGGTGTTCAGCCTGCTAATTTGATGTTTTCTTCTTCAATGGATGCCATAGTTTAGTACACCTTTCTGTCTCAATATTAAGGCCTCATTAGACATTTGTTGAGCAAGGCAAACCATATGTAAGAATTGAAAGGATTACATTTGGGGGAAGGGGGTTCTGACTTTTCCCAATTGTGCAAGCTTGCCTAGTTTAAAATAGGGAGTAGATTTCTGTGCCACATTCCACAATCATCAAAATAAGTTTGGTTGGGTTACCTGTTACCTGTTTTGATATGTAACTACAGAACAATTCTTTGTTCTTAAGGGGTGAGACCTGACATACAAAGCCGACTCTTTGAAGTGGCACAGGCATCAGAACTTTTCTTACCTTGAGAAGGATTTGAAGCAACAACACCCAATCACCTAGCAGACGTCAATCCAACTTGCTACCGACTGAGCTATTCCACTGTAACAAACAGACAGTGTTCCAACCCAGCGTTAGACGGAAGTATTGACGTTTACACAGTTCAAAAGTTGCTAACCCCTTGAAGGAGATATTCATATAGCCTGGCATGGGTAAGGATAGGTATTATGGGATGAGAGATGACCCCAGGCCGACTCTCAAAAGCACAGGCAACGGCATCAGAGTTTTTCTTACTGTGAGGAGGATTTAAACCCACAGCATGCATTATGGGATGAGAGCAGACTTGCGGCTGACTGATTCAAAAGCGAAAGGATTTTCAAAGTACTTATTTACATTAAAGAAATTTCTAGAGCCTTTTCTCAGATAACATTACTAAGACACTAATTACCATAGTGTATAAAGAAAACAAATCTGTGTACTCCTTAATTTAAATTTTAGATGTACCCATTAAGTACCATTATAAACTCATTATGTCAATATCTTTGTGTTTATTTACATTTTAATTATCATGTCTCATCAGTATTAACCTGACCTTAAAGTCACTAAACTTAAGAAAACTGTTTACTTCACTGAAGAATTCAAATCTAAGAAGGTTACATTTAATGCAAAATAAAATAAAACCTTTGTGAAAATTTTAAGGGATATTTGCTTTACTAGTTACTTTGAGCATCATTTTAGTTACCGGTATCCATATTTACTGCAAATAAATATACCATGAAGTCATAGGTCATAACTACCTGTAAGAATGTTACTAACATTGACAAAATAACAGGAGAATTGGTTGTGAGATTTTGATTCTGTAAAGTGATACAAATGATATCATGTGTCAGAAAGCACCAAATCAATTCTACTTTTAAAACCTTTTCTTGAGAAAGAATCCCTATTCTGATGGCAAAAAAATGATCAATGTCTGTGATTCCTACAATTCCAGTAAAACTTATTCTGCCTTATGACAAGGCCCTTTATGGGGACGTCAGAAAAAGCTTAGTTTTAGTGGAAGTGCAGAAAACCACAGACATCTGACTGAGAATTTAAATAGTGCAAAAAATTTAGAAAACCCAATTATTAATTATCTATGCTTAGGTTAAGAATCCTTCATGGGTGTATGTGTGCCATCTTCATTAGCCAGCATGGTGCAGAAAAGTAGGACGTAAAACTCCATTCATTTTATTTCATTTCCTTCATTGGTGTGCAGTGTGTAATTGATGAAGGCGTTAGAAAATGTACGGAATTTTGGTACGTCTTCACTTTATGTGGATTTGAATTGACTCCACTTTATAAGTATAATATATTCATACTAGAGTTCAAGTAATGATTAGTATTATTTAGAGAAATAAAACTAAGATGTGGTGGACCAGGAGATAAATAAAACCATCTGTAAAAACATGTAGATAGAAGATACTGATCATTCTTTATATTATATAGAGTTAAAAGAAAACTCCATCCTTTGATCAATTGATCTATCAATTAAGGGTTAAGACTTGCCAGAATTTTTAATAAGCAGGATGAAAAGGATCATGGTGCAAACATCATTATTAAAACAATATGTTCTTGGCATTTGGATTAAAGTTGAGGTCTCCCTAAGGTATTAAGTTAAGTGCACTTTATTTTCAGAAAGGAAACATCAACATAAATAAGATACTGTAAAGGTCATTGAAAAAGTTGTTATTATTACCACAAGAACTGTTCATGCATTTCTATTCAGTTTTCTGCAAGAGTCAACAGTTTAGTTTTGTGCAGTACTATTTCATTGTATTGTAGGAGAACTGGAACTCGGATTTTAATTCTGAAAATTCCTATGGATAGCTGAAATTGAACTATACAACATTCTATAGAAAATATTTAAATGGCTATGGTGCCAGTATCGATATTTTGATGAAATTGCTACAAATAGTTTGATAAAATATCAGGGATGTTTTGATTTGATGATTTTCCAAAAGTTTTTGTGGTTTATATCTGTACTGTTTATTGCATTTCAGTTAAATTCAGTTTGAAATGGATGCTGCAGCAAAGATTTGAAAATAATTTCAGCTGTGTGGGCACTTATCATTGTGAATGTTGTTTTCTGTTGAAAGATATTGGACTGGAGATACAGATTAATTTCTATCTATCTTATAATCACAATGTTAGTGTAAACTCAGTGTAATTTGACCAATTGTTAGTTTAAGACAGCGTGAAATTACAGTCAGTAAGGTGGAATCTAGATTGTATATCTAGTGTTTTTTATCTTTCTGGTTCAGGTCAAGTTTAATTGATACCTACCTATATATTGTTAAACTGATAGAGTTTCATCAGTGTTGTTAGGTGGATGATAATTATCACTTCTCTTGACTGGATACAGTTTCACTTGCAGGTTTTAAGAATGTTTTTCTATTTTGTGTTTTTTGGTACTATGCATTGCTTATATTTATATTGATATTATGTAACATCTAACAAATTTGGTTCCTGTAATTCCAGAAAAACGTTTACAGTATTCAAACAAACTTTGTGACAGAGATATCAAAATCTGATCAAGTTTTTTCGAGTTTCATTACAGGAATCACTCATGAAATTAGAAGATTTTTCAGTTCCTTCAATTGATGTGAATAATGTTTTATGTAAAATGTAACATTTGGAGGAAAAATTTTAAACTGTATAGATTTTTGTTACGTATCTCAAAACAAAAGAACTTAGACTGTACAAAGCTTGAGTTTGGAATGGAAACACATCAACTTATAGAATTTGGCAGGAACCATATTAATCTTGTTACTGTTAGTGTTTAATGTTTATTCCTTGTCTTTAAGATTCTGATTTGCTATGGAACCATTTTAATGATCTGTTTCATAATTATATTCTGGTATTGTGGAAAAGGTGCTCTAAGTATAAGGCTCCAGTGTGGAATGGACACCACATAAAATTATAGAATTTGTCAGGAACCTCATTAATCTTGTAGAGTCTAATGTTTATTCCTGTCTTTAAGATTCTGATGGGCTTTGGAACCATTTTAATGATCTGTGTGTAAGTATCAAAGGATACCTACATAATGTATTTTATAGTAGAGCCCATATGGTGTTCTCTTTAATCTTATATTTGATGGCCAAGTTTGGTTTTGATGGCCAATATAAAAGATTCCCGTAGCTTATCTAGTTAACATTACTTGATAACTATGGGTGGAACTAGATAAAGAAATCTGATATTTAAAACATTTCAATATTTCACTGACCTATATATAATTTTAAGTTCAAGGGAGAATCTAAAAGACCTTATCTTTTAAAGAAAAACTGAAAAGAAACAATTTTGATTTTTCTTGATATTTAATCATCAAAGATCAAGAGCTTGACAGGCAGTTTTGTATTTTAAATTGCTACAGTTATAAAATGATAAACTTAAAAATCAGATCAATGAAATTTTTTTTTCTGATTTGATTTGATGGCCAAGTTTGGTTTTGATGGTTTATATGACATATTTCTGAAGATCTGAAGAATTACTTGACATTGAATTGAATAGGCCTTGAAAATGATATCAATGATGTAGAGATTTCCTACAAGCTTCTTTTTTTCTGATTTTCATCAAGCTGTCCAAGCCAAGATAAGATGTGTGGGACTGCCAATTGCACTTTTAAGCAAATTTTACTCAGTTTTAAGTACTTTCATGTAAGGGATTTTTGCTGACAGATAAAATATTTATAGACAAACCAGAAGTTGGTTTTTGATTCTGAAAAGTGGTACAGAATTAAACTAGAGCTCAAGCAACTGGAAAAACATATATATTAAAATGACATCATCTTAATCCTATTTAACTCTGCTTTCAGGATAATATGTACAAATAATGATGTACATGTATACATCTCTGTTTTCAGGATAATATGTACAAACAGTAATGTACATATATTTATCTCTGCTTTCAGGATGATAATGTACCAACAATAATGTACATGTATTTATCTCTGCTTTCAGGATAATATGTACCAACAGTAATGTACATATATTTATTTCTGATTTCAGGATACTAATGTACCAACAGTAATGTACTTGTATTCATGTCTGCTTTCAGGATAAAATGTACAAAGAGTAATGTACATGTATTTATCTCAGCTTTCAGGATAATAATGTACCAACAGTAATGTACATGTATTCATGTCTGCTTTCAGGATAGTATGTACAAACAGTAATGTACATGTATTTATCTCTGCTTTCAGGATAGTATGTACCAACAGTAATGTAATGTATTTATCTCTGCTTTCAGGATGATAATGTACCAACAATAATGTACATGTATTCATCTCTGCTTTCAGGATAATATGTACAAAGAGTAATGTACATGTATTTATCTCAGCTTTCAGGATAATGATGTACCAACAGTAATGTAATGTATTTATCTCTGCTTTCAGGATAATAATGTACCAACAATAATGTACATGTATTCATGTCTGCTTTCAGGATAATATGTACCAACAGTAATGTTTTGGAAACTTGAAGAAGAAGATGAAAACAATGCCAAGAATATTACTGTTATTGTTCAGTTTATCGGTGATGACCATGATATTTATAGCTCGTTGTGGTCTGTATATGGACGGCTACCTCTCTCGTACTCCCAATGGTTTGCCCACTGTCAGCGACAAGGTTGATGTCAAGCGCCAGGTCCGTGATGTGCTTCAAGAAAAGGAGTCTCAACATTCTAAAGTGGTCCAATCTCTTCAGAAACAGATAGATAATTTAGAGAACAGACTGCGAGAAGCTCAGTTGCGTCATCTGAATATCAGTAAACATCTTGAATCATCTGAGGCAAGAGTGACAGAAGTTGAAATCCAAACATATCACATCATGCCAAAAAACTTGTCGGATTTTTCTCAGTTTTTCAATGAACAGTTGCAGGCAGCTGAAATTCTACAAGGTATGCCATTGAAAACGGAATATGATGTTGTGTCTTTTAATAGATTTACATTAAACCGCGTGTACCTGGTTGATCCAGGTTTAGGAAAACGTGTGATTGAGAAGCCAATAGGATATAAGAAAAAAGATTTATTAGAAATAATAACACATGCTATGAACAAACTAAACGAAAACAGAACAGGACCATATATTAAGTTATATACAATGGAGGATTTTTTAGAAGGTCTGTATAGAATTGAACCAACAACTGGAACCCATTATGAATTATATTTTCAAGATATAGATTCATCTGTGGCTTATTCTTATAAAAAAGTGATATTAATGAGACCGTTTGGTCCACCAATGTTGGTCAGTAAAAATAAAGTGACTACTGATCAAGCTTGGATTAATTTGATTCTACCATTATCTGGAAGGATCGAGACATTTCGTTTATTTATGGAGAGATTTGTCAGTGTATGTATTAAACAAGATAAAAGAGTATATTTAACCGTGGTTTATTTTGGTACAGATGGTCTACAGGAAGTTAAGAATATCATGTCCGCTATCGCTAAACACAACAAATTCAAACATATGAAACTAGTTACGTTAAATGAGAAATTTGCCAGAGGCCGAGGACTGCAAATAGGTGCATTAAATTGGAAAAGTGGTGATGCCATGTTATTTTTATGTGATGTGGATATCGTATTTAATGGTGAATTTCTGGAACGGTGCCGGTTAAATACAGAACGTGGAAGAAGAGTCTATTATCCTATAGTATTTAGTTTATATAATCCCAATGTGGTTTATTCTCTACAAGATATCACCATTCCTAATTTAAAAGATCAACTAGTCATATCTAAAGATACAGGATTCTGGAGAGATTTTGGTTATGGAATGACCTGTCAGTATCGCTCAGATTTTCTTAAGATCAAAGGTTTTGATGAACATATCACAGGATGGGGTGGGGAAGATGTATTTTTATATCAAAAATATGTCAGAAGTGACTATTTGGTTGTAAGAGCAACAGATCCTGGTATATTTCATTTATGGCATGAAAAATACTGTGACCCCAATCTAACCCCAGAACAATATAGAAGTTGTATTAGATCTAAAGCTTTAAATGAAGCCTCTCATGCTCAGTTAGGTTTATTAGCATTTAAAGATGAAGTTGATATTCATAGAAGTTTTGTCAAAAAAAGTCATGAAAAATATTAGTAATTTTTGAACTTTTTTCACACAAATGTTCCGTAAGGAAAAGACAATAGCAAGAAAAATAAAATTTTGCCATATTAAGCATTGGAAATTTAGGCTATAAATTTAATTTCTTGAGTATTTGGTAACTGATATTTTAATCAAAATTATGTCCCTAAGTGAAATTTTAACACTGCAAAAAAGAAAAAAAATTCATCAGATTTTGTAATTATAAACCAATTTTTCATGGTATGGTACGTTTTTTGTGAAAACAGCCCATTAATATTCATTGTATAAAAATGTCATTATAAGGCAAGCTCTATTGGTGGACCAATATTTTGTTATCAAATTTCATCCTTTATATGAAATTCATCCATTGATATAATATCCTTTAATCTTTGACCAATTGATTTATAATGATTGTGTGAAAGCCTCTTTAGTTTCTATAATGGGTATTGTTTCATTAGCGAATGACAATGGTTAGTCTAGTTTATCATTCTTGTAAATATTTGTAAACCCCCGATTTCTAATTCTTACCTAGCTGTGTAGGAACCCAAAGTTTTAGGAGTCAACAGTTTTTCCTGAAATTTTGGCGACTGTTTTACAAATGACAGACTTGTAATATCCTTTACCCAATTGTCTTTATTAGGACATTTGTCTTTTTATTATCCAAAATATATATTGGTTGTATAAGATAAGCTTTTATTGATTACAAATATTTTCAAAGTTTAGTGTGTATATGATATGGTGATTTTTGTAATATTTTATTAATGTACAAACTGAACATCAATAGGGCTCTGTATATGTGATATTCATTTTTTGGAACTAGATGTACACATATTATTGATCCCAAGTATTTTAGGTTGAGCTTATTGATGTTGATCCTTTACTAGTTATGTTATCATTATTGATATTGATCCTTCACTAGTAATTTTATCATTATTGATAATGATACTTCACAAGTCATGTTATAATTATTGATATTGATCCTTCACTAGTCATGTTATAATTATAGATATTGATACTTCACTAGTTATGTTATCATTATTGATATTGATCCTTAACTAGTCATGTTATCATTACTGATATTGACTCTTCACTAGTCATGTTATCATTATTGATATTGATCCTTTACTAGTCATGTTATCATTATTGATATTGATCCTTCACTAGTCATGTTATAATTATAGATATTGATCCTTTACTAGTCATGTTATAATTATAGATATTGATCCTTTACTAGTCATGTTATCATTATTGATATTGATCCTTTACTAGTCATGTTATAATTATTGATATTGATTTTTCACGAGTCATGTTATCATTATTGATATTGATATTGACCCTTTACTTGTAATGTTATCATTATTGATATTGATACTTAACTAGTTATGTTATAATCATCGACATCGATCTTTCACTAGTCATGTTATAATTATTGATATTGACCCTTTACTTGTAATGTTATCATTATTGATATTGATCCTTTACTAGTCATGTTATAATCATTGACATCGATCTTTCACTAGTCATGTTATAATTATTGATATTGATCCATTGCTAATCATGCTATAATTATTGTTATTGATCCTTCACTAGTCATGTTATCATTATTGTTATTGACCCTTTACTTGTAATATTATCATTATTGATATTAAACAAGTAATGATCAGTCATGATATCATTATTGATATTGATCCTTATCTAGTCATGTTATCATTTTTTATATTGACCCTTTACTAGTCATGTTATCATTACTGATATTGATCCACTGCTAGTTATGTTATCATTATTGATATTGATCCTTTTATTAGTCAGGTTACTACGATTTCATCACTGCATTTCACTTGAACGTATCAGAATATGTATCCATTTTTTATTCCTTCTAAAATGAAGGTTAATATCCTTTCTATTAATAATTGACTTAGTCTAGTCAGGCTATGCAATATTTAAAGGTTATAATTTTTGTAACCTTACCACATCGAAAGATCATTCACCTCATAATGATTTAAAAGATATTACAGGTTTATTTTGGTCACATTGTCTCATTGTACTCTCAGTATTACTCGATGTGTTCATATACAGTAAAGATGTTTACAGATTTGTTTATTTTGTTGTACAAAGTTTTTGTTATTGTTTACATATTTGTTATGCATGTTATTAGTTCATTTTTTTAAATTTCAAATCTGTATTGTAAACTCAATAAAGATATATATTATTTATTTTGATGTACCTTGTTCTAGGTATTAGAAGTGGAAAACCGGTAGTGGGCCGACTCTCTGATGCAAAGTTTCTTTCCCACACTGATTGGGGAGGTGGAGAGGCTAATACCCTTTCCCATTATTTACACGCATCCCCTAACTCTAGTTTACGATCAAAGCCTTTAGTCCGCGGGAGCTACGCAACCCCGAAAGTAAGTTTTTCGGGAAAAAATCTCATAACCAGGTTAGAGATTCGAGCAATTTTAGATATCTCGCCCCCTCTCGGACGTAAACCTGGCTCCGCCACTGAGCTACGCAAGAGAACGTCATTTGCACCAACCCGTTGATCGAGTCTTTCGCAAAAAAATAATACATCAATTTCTAGTCAAGACGCGATAATTCGGTTTAAGTCTACAAACTGTGTACTTGAGAATTATGTCAGTTGAAGATCACAACAGAGATTAGATGCGAATAATTCTGTATTAATACCATAATAAAGCTAGTATTTTGACAGTTTCGCAGTTATCTTATTCCACTGCACATTTCACGAACACATTATAACAAGTATTACGTATACAATGTACACATGTTGTTTGATTGTGTTTATTTTTAATTTTCATAACACAATACATACAAAACATATGTATTTACAATGCTAATGTTGGGCTGAAGTCAACTGGCGATTCATAGCATCTTACCGCAGTCGGCATAAAATTAATTTGAAGACTACAGTACTAGCTTCTTAGTACAGCTGAATACTCGCAGAACCAACAACCCAGGTCGACGATAAAATGCATTTTTTCTAGAAAATGAACATTAGCAACTTAATAGCAGCTGGGATTTTTAAGTGGTCAATGCACTCAAGCCGAATAATTCCGTTGATCAGATTTTCCAAATAACGCCAGTTGCTCTTAATTTCTGTCAGTCGCAAGGTTGACCTTAACACCCTTTAAAAATGAACACACAAAAATATTGAAAAATGATTCATATATATTTTATTATTAACGATAGGTATAAAAGACATATTGTATTATTATTACAACAAGATGCCAATTTTGACATTAACAAATATATAATATGAAAGTTCACAGGAAACCTCAGACTAAATTTCACTGTTTCGCGAACATTTTTATCTAAAATTCAACACTGGGCTTGACTGACATTGTTATCACGACACCTATATCAATTTTTTAAAAGATTATTTTCATATGGTAGGAAGTTATGTTTCACTACTTGAACAGGACATTCAACGTGCAACTATTTCCCTTCCCAATTTAATTCATGTGTTGTACAGGTGTCGAAGTAGGCACAATATCGTATTTCAAATAATGTATTGTATACAAATTTATTCTGATGTTATTCTTATTTAGTGTTTCCTACATGGTTTCTGGTCAGCAGAAATTCTCAGTTATACTAACACGCAAATATGCAGAAATATCTAGCCAAATAAGATTTGGATATATGGTTATATCCAATTACAATTGATGTATTGAGCACTATGTTAACGGTAAAAATACTTTAAAGTATATGCAATTAGACAGATAATGCATGTAGGGGCATGTCATTGAATGCATGTACTCAACCTACTTCTACAAAATATATTTAAAAAAATATGCATTTAGAAAGAAAAGCAGGTCGGGTAACAACAATGAAGAAATGATGTTAAAGATATACTACCTATTAGAATGAAAAATAAAGTTGAGATTTGAACTATTAATTCATCTTTTCGGATGACCAAGGATGTTCTATCTATGACACCTTGTAAGTCAACTAATGATATTATATGAGTTATATTTAATGTGCATTCTAAGAGGTAGTATACCAAACCTACACGAATGGGACGTTCGTATCCGTTATTTTACATGCGTCATTTCCGGTCCATTTTCACGTTCTGTAACATGTGTCGAGCTTTAAATACTCTGGAAAGATGTTCTTTTTACCACCAAGTTTTACTCCGGTTGTTGAATTGCTGGTGATTTTTGTTGTAATATAGACTCTAGATGTAACAGCAACCTTTTCTCTTCCACTATACACCGTAATAATTCTTTACTATCACTGAAAATAAAATATAAGACCACATAATCATTGCGTCGCCAAGACGGGATAGGATCTCAGTTGAGGACCGGTAAAGCTCATTTTTGATATCCAAGACATTGAGTGAAAAAGCGACTTTTTGTAACTTCTGTTTTGAGGTTAGTTTCCTATATTTTGGAAATCATGACACGGAAGTTAAATTTAGAATGACCAAAACTGTAGAAAAAAGAGTGTAAAAGCGAGCTGAAATGAATCTTGTGATATCATTTGGACAACAACCTACGCCCTGCAGATCTTATTATTATATATACACCAAAACATTCTTGCATAATACGGTCGGCATAGGACGATATCGACAACAACCTGGCCACTTGCATCCTTTTTTGGTAGCAAACTGGACGTAGAATTTTCAATATGAAATTGACACAGTTAGGTGAAGTAAAGCTCCACTATAGTAAATATATTGAATTCACCTGATATTGTTTAAAATATGATCTGTTGAATTATTATGAAATAAATGAAACAGTATTCTCATTCCATTGTCTCGTAATTTTAAAGTTTCTGATTTGATAAATTTCTCCATAATATCAGGAATAACTCGTATCTGAAAAACACAAAACATTTCACGAATAACTAAGATATAAATTCGAATCAATCAAAATGAACTGGAAATGAAATAAAATGAACTGGAGATTACATCCTACTTTTCTTCTTCAGTTGACAAATCAAAGACGATCAGCATGATGGATAGCGGCAATCGCCTACTACTTTCGAATTCAAACTGTCGATGGATCTTAAACGCGCACTGTCGAAACTAAGAACGACGAAACGATTTTACATGTCAGCCCCTTTCGATCTACGTCATCACAGTGGAAAACGAGACTGTAAGAGACGTACTGTATCCGAATGGACAATTGGCCAGCTTTTCAGGTTGTTTGGTCAAAATTCGCTAGAATACGATGCAAAGGAGAATTTCTTTATGTGAATGGCGAGCGTGGTAACAGGCAGGAAAAAACAATGAACGAAACAATTTGATCTACACCATGTAACATTTTCAGAAACATCCGCACGAAATTGTGTTATTCTAGCAGAAATACTCACGATGGTGTCGCTATTGTCTGGATATTTGGCGAAGTTAGCCAATGCTCTTGATATGTTACACAAGAGATCTATTTGGTCTAATGGTACTGAGTGTAATAATTGGCATGTTGACTGAAATAATTCCTGCAAACCAGCCTAGAAAAAAATTAAATTGCTGTGGAAACGCAATTTCAAACATACACGTTGAAAAAAGATTGATTTCTGTGTATAGTAGAGGTTTTCAACCTTTTTCTGTCTATTACTTTTTTCAGGATCGTTGATAGATTGCTTTACAGTGGCGGAGCCAAAGGGAGGCGAAAGGGGCAGCAAGTTTTTAGGGCAAAAATCTCATAAGTAGGTTTGAAATTCGTGCAATCTCAGATATTTCGCCCCCACCCCCCTTCGGACGTAATCTGTTCTCACTTCAGTCTAATTGACTGGGGCAAACAATACCGAATCAGGACCCAGTTTCTCAAAAATTAGATGCAGATTAACGTACGAGCGTAACATCATATAAATTAACAATATTAATTAACGTTTTTCTTCACTTAACGTGCAAGTTTAGTCGTACGAATTTTTGAAATTACCGAATCAGACGATAATTATGTTGTTATTTACCTGGTCTTCAACACTTGTAGCTAAATTGGCAACTAAACAAATAGCATTGCACAAAATCTGTTTATTTTTAGGATGGCTATTGACAACTTTTTGTAAACATCGGCCAGAAGAATAATCTTCCTGAAAAATCAAAATTTAAAATTGTGATCAAAGCGAATCATGATTTATATAAAAATATAGAACTTTGATCAAGCGTTCATTAGTTTTATTAAATTTTGTTAATTAATTAAAATAAATTAAGTCTGCTAATTAAACGAACCTGAACGATCCTGTGTTTATGCCAATCTTTACCACATGCCAAATGAGCTAATATTTTTAAGTTACCTTCTTGCATCTATATTAAGACACAAACATTGCATAAAATTATATTGCAAAAATAGCATATCTTCATGTATATGAATTGGGTTTAAGAATATAATAGCTTTAGGAAATCTGATAAATATACAGAGTTAGATGTTTCGTTTTCGCCATTATTCTATGAGTGGCTCCACTTGTCATCCCAGATCTGAGGAAATTGTTCGCTAAACCATTTTATAACCAATCAAATTAGAATTTCTTTGATAATTTTTGTGAAACATTGACTGGTATTGTCAAACCCTCATTTTTTAAAAATCTTATCTATGACTGGTTAGCATACAAAATGATGTAATAGGGTCAAAAGTCATGAATAGGAACTGCAGTATCTAGAAAAAAATATCAAAAGCCTACTACTTTAGTAAGAAAACTATCAAATTGCAGAATCTAAGAGTAACTGGATTGTCAAGGATTGTTGCCAGCTGGAGGCATCTGACATCAATGGATAGATGAAATCCAGCAGAGTGCACGGATGACTGAAATGTCACATTTGTCTTCAGATGACATCTACTTAGTTACAAAAATTTAATTTTTTCGTCGAACTCCGCTAATATACAGTCGATAAATAAATATTTCTATAAGAAAATCTGGCCCATACGAAACTACGTATGGTTCTTACATGGAAATAAGACACACGAAAGTAGTTTACAGCCTAAATCTAAATCTCTCTCTCGACTAAGTCGATTTAAAAAAAAACAATAATATTTCAACAAAGCATTCCCATCATATTTAAAGCAAATTCCTAAGCCTTTAAATGTGATTGAAACATTCAGCCTTTTTAAAAATTCGACTATCAGTTGAGGTGCAGATTCAAATGGCTGTTAAGTACTTTCGTGTGTTTTATTTCCATGTAAGAACCATGCGTAGTTTGTATGCATCTCTCGCCTATGTTGACTGTGGCGGATCAGAATCAGATGTGATGCTTTTGATTTTTCAAAAAGGAAAAGGAAACAAACGTTGAAAACATGAAAAGTACCTGTTCGTCTTGAGATAATGTCATTGTTAATATTTTTGGTACAGCATGACGTTGACTGTCAAAGATTGCGTCGTGTGTAGCTGTATTAGAAACGATCAGACCTAATGTTCTAACAGCAACTAAACATACAGCTTCATGAGCAACTGAACACAAATCTAATACCAAGTCTAATGTACCATCTTCTAGTACTAAATGGCACAAAACAAAACAAACAATTTGTGAACATCTTATGAAGTAGGCGTTTTAAACACACAACAATATAGAAATTGGTGTCCAGAAAAATCATGTTAGTATAAAGCAATATGAAGTATTTTAACATTGAATCTAAGACAAGCGTTATACTACTTCTAAAGTCATTGGAAGATAAAACAATGTACACGAGAATTCAGTCTACCGACTGATCCATGAGCAAGCCTCTTGGTTGCGAAACATAAGGCAGCATTTTTACTCAGTTGTTGTATATTACCTTTATTTCTGAATTCTGGTGATTTACAGAATATCATTAGAGAACTGATACCACGAGACAGTATTTCTACATTACTTTTCTCTGTTCTTGTTAATATACTGAAATATAATATAAGTCATTAAATAATGTTCATATCAATCATTTTCTTGTGTGGCATTTCTATTAAATGGATATAATTTTTTTTTAAATATAGGATCTACAGCGTTGTGATATTTTTCTTCCGGATTGGAATCTATGGAGGTGTACGCATATTATTTTTTCTTTCTTTAAAATACTAACTTGATATGAAACTATTTTGGCAATTCAGGGACGAAATATGAACATAATATGAGGCTAATTGGGCAAGTCAGAGAGCAAAATATAAACATAATATCAAGATAATTGGGCAAGTCAGAGAGCAAAATATAAACATAATATGCGGCTAATTTGGTAATTCAGGGAGACAATATTAACATAATATGGAGCTTATTTGGCAAGTCAGCAACATGTGATATGAAGCTAATTCTGCAAACCAGAGAGCTTAATAATCCTACCTATTTAAACATTTAATGATACCAGCCTCGACTAAAACTTGATGTAATGTAGGATTGGATGTTAATGTATGAAGACCAGTCATTACGTCTAGCTGAAACATATAAGATTGAATTATTTAATTGAGACCACAAAATACATGCCAATGATAGGCAACACAGAATATAATTATAAATGGAAAATAATTGGAAAAAACATTAAACGAAACCTATTGATATACATTGAAGAGTTATTTATGGCTACATTATGTTTGTTTATGGAATGTCTGTATTTCTGGAACTTATACTTACCATAGCCTGGTTTGCTGTTTCATGAGATAAGGCTATTAATGTTTGTATTCCACCAAGCTGAATAACCTGTGAATTGAAATAAATGCGTTTATCTACAAATGCAAACACAGTCGAGGGCCTAAAATAGCGCGCCTCTAATATGTCTTAAGTCAACTTCAGCATTATAGACAATTAATGTTAGATCCAACTAAGATAATACTTTTAGATCACATCTTTGATACACTTTTATTGTACCCTCTTCTGATCGGAGTCACTGTAGTTAACTAATGGATCAAATCGCTATATACTGTGCACTGGATATTTGCAGAGACGTAAAATGGCTGTTTATATTTATTCTTTCCGAACGATGACAGAGCAATGTTTGTCTATCTGAAACATTAACGGATATCAGTTCTACGAGGAAAAATTGTTTTAAACCTGTTTTAAATTTCTATCATCACCACAAAATATAGATAATGCTTTCGCTGCTTCTTCTTTTAACCTCTAGAAAAAAAATAATTAAAAACAAAATTTTATATGATATCAGTGAAACAAATCAATATCATGTATATCGAATTTTGTAATCATTTCATTTCATTGAATGCGCGCTCAAGGTAAATATGTGCCAGTCGTAATAAAGGACTAGAGAGATTTGTTCTGTCCTTTACGAGTTTGTGACGTCACTATCGTAATTACCAAGTACACGCACTTCAAATGGTATTTGCGACACCGACGTCCTAATCTTAAAGAGGAGAAAAAATATTTCTTACCATATTTTTTAATATCTTAGGCCTATGATTTGATCAATAGAACTTGGAGGGACCCTAGAAACACCAAAAATCCCCTTAAACTATTTTGTGTCACTATTTCGATGATAAATCAAATTAATAATTACATTACTCTGTGATCGGGATTGTGTTATAACTTCAGTTACAGGTCGGCACCAATCACAAACTCTTTCAGGATCATCTATACCCAGATGTGGTAGTGGTAGCTATGTAATATAATATGAATAGTTTATAGGATATCAAATTGTCTAGTCTGGGCTGTCTGTCGAAACGTGTTTGAATACATAACCATTATAGGGGCAGCTATCGGATAGCCTAGAAACCGGAACTCCCTTCTTTGCCGGCTAGATGGATGGCTAAACACCCTTTAGATTAATTATAAAATACTTTGACAACGCTCGACAGGCACCTCATTTCAAAGGAAATGGGAATCTTTCCATGTACGTATAGTCAAACACAAATATTTTAGCTCATCCTGGTATCATCAAAACATAAAGTCTATTTAATTTCCAAGTGTAAAAAAGGTATGGCATTTAGATTGTTTGACTATACTTTTTTTTTTATCTTTATCATGTTAATTATGGTATTATGTTTAAATCTGACCTTCTCTTTACAGCATTTATTACATAATACTCTTCCACATTGTCTACAGTGATGTTTTCTTCTTAATTGATTAAATTTATCATTACATAGTATACATACACTAACTTCATCATCTGATATCCATCTACATAAAAAATATGAAATATTATATCTTAGGTGGACCTTGTGACTGGAAATATCTGCAAGCAATTGGACTTTTAACTACCATCACTGGATTAAGTCTACTTGCACACACCAACGAGTGATATCATCTGAAGTGGCGTAGCGAGGCTTTCATTGAGGTCAACCGAGCCCTTTTAAACTTTATACACTAGTCATAGTGGAGGGATGGAAAATTTTCTAATGTAGGAAGCCGGAGAAAACATCTAACGCAATTTCAGAAGTGAAAATAGAATTATATTTTAGGCCCGAGGGAGTCCACTTGATATCATCAGGTTTTTGATATTCTGGGCCAACTTTCTGTTAAAAATTGAAGCTGGTGTACACACGATTGGTCAGGAGATGATTAAGCACACCTCTAGAATACGATTGTTAAAAATCTTAAATAAATCACATCTGTTTCCGAACTATTCTACTTAATGTTGCAATGGCTAAAAAGACGGTTTGATGTAAATTCCAGTAGGCTATAGATGAAGAGATATTTATCCGCCTTGCCCCAGAACAGATCATTCAAGTTTAGTTTGTGAACATTAAAATAGAAGCTCGGTACTATATTCCAGAATTCATAGGCGTATCTAGAAAATGTCAAAGAAGGAGGCCAGAAATGAGAGGTGTCTGGGCCGGGGCTGTCAGAGGCTCCTCAGAAGCCAATGGATTTAAGATGGCCTGGGCTGAATTTTGAGCATTTAAGGGCTTAATTTTCACTTTTAAAATCAACTATCACAGGCCTGAGGTGGAGACCATGACCCAATGACCCTCTCTCTAAAATCGCTTCTGCCATTATGACATTCAAATCATAACCCATAGCTAAACCTCTTTTCTTAGTCTTATTTTGTCATAATGACATTCACAATAACTATGTAATAAATGTGACGTTTTATTGGGTTATCTGAATCTAGATTTTCAAATCATATCATTATAACTTTTATATGAGAAAATAATAAAATATAGTGATAGTAATAATAGGATAAGAACTCTTTCCCTTCCGGAACTATGGTACCACCCATCAACAAAATGTGGTTTGGTATGCAACATTGGTTCCGTTTCACATGTGAATCGAATTTGTTACTGAGTTTCACGACTCAAGATGCTATATCATTGTCAAATTGTCATTTAATAAAAACGGCGTATCAGCCAAATAGTCATAGGCTTAATTACATATACCGAAACAATGTTAATTCCACTAAATAGGTATCCCATTTCAACCTACCTGGGTTTTGTAAGTATAAAGTCAGGGTAAGTAAAAACATCCGAAGGTCCATCAACTTTAGCAGGTGTCACTTCACCATCAGATAGTATCAGACTTCCTGTAAACGATGTCATTATTCCGTGAGATTGATTGACATAGATTTTATATTATTATCAATGAGGGGCGTATCTTAACAAGAGTTAGCTCCCATTATACGTACATTACTGGCCGTATAAGTGTAATAATGTATTATATTGCCTAATAGGCCAATATAAGATAAGGTTATTAAGTACGACTTAGTAGGCTATGAATGTTACTGAGTTTTTCCATCTTATTTTTCTAAACCTGTACTGTCTTGTAGGCCCACCTGTGTTAATGAAGAGGGAGAACATCATGCAGTATTTTTAAGACATTTCCTACTCTTTCCCTTTTAACTGTTGGGTTGGTGGTCAGGCCAGGATCAGGATCAAGATCAGGACCAAGACAGTGCAGTAGTGGGTTGAGCTATGGACTAAATGATGGATTAAAAAAGGCCCTACGTGCGAGAAAGTCTATAAAAAAAGTGGATTCAGGATATATTTTTTTTATTTATTTATAAAATGACTGGATAATCCTGTCGAAGGCATTGTCAAGGGGAGATAACTCATCCGTACTTTTTGGAAGAAACGATATTTTGAAAAGGTTACTCAAAATGTTGTCTTTTAGATATACAACGTCTCTTCTAATAATGACCATCGTTATATTGACAGGGTTTTCTATGGGTGTACTTATTTCTGGTGGGACGTCTGGTAAATTGGACACCAATAAAGTCACCATAGCTATCGTATTTTTCTTTTTAGCCATGTGTCAAACTGGCTTTATTTTCTTTGTTTATTATCATCGGGATGAGTTAGCTGAATCAGCTACAACAGTAGAATCTGGTGGAAGCTGTTCTTGCTTAAATATTGCTAGCGATCGGGATACAAGATCCAAAGAGACAATAGGCCTACAACCAAAAAAGGGTTGGTATGATTTCTTGTTCAACCTTTACAACCGAAATAGAAATCTTGGTCAGAGTTGATTCACAATCACAGTGCATAAACCACTAAACAGCCAAGTGCAGATCAGGAGGTAAAAGAAGAATCAAGGGGCCGTCCAAATTTGCACAAGTTTTGGAATGCAACTTAGGGGCCTATGTCATGGGGACTTATAGACCAACCTATAAAAGAAATCATTAGGCGTAAATTTGCACTTTGCTTTGTAGAACAGGAACCAAATATCATGAAATCTACTCAATTAGATTATTTAGAGTCCAGGGGTTATGTTTGGTCCTAAATCGGACATTTGCATTGAAAGATATAATTATTTTCCACTGAACAGGGCACTGGCTAGCCCACAAGTGCCTTATGCTAAATTTGACCAAAAAAAAAAAATATGTTTAAAAAAAAATTAAAAAGATAAAAATGATATCCGCTAAAATAGGCCGCAAAATTTGATGTCTACAAAGGTGGTTACCGTTTGAAGTCGTTGCCGAAATCGTTGCGATGAAAGACGGCAGGCTTCAAAGACAACCGTATTTTTGCCCCATAGAAAGACCCTGGTTACGGCCCTGTTGACTGCCACATACCACATGTCCTCAGCTAGGCTCTTGCGAAATCCCAAGTCAAAATGTGGCAAAAGGGGTTGGAATGTAAACTACATGATTAAGAAAAGGCGTTACAAAACCACTTTCTCTTGATCTTGTTCAATACAGAGAGAGTTATGATATTAAAAAGATAGAAAGCTTTGCCTATCTAAACCTGCTCTAACATTCAGAACATTAGTTTAAAGGCATGGAAATATCTGTACAGTTTATTTTGAAATTGAGTGTGGAAATTTCCTAGGTAATAAAAAAATATAAATATTGCAGAATATAATTAGTTGAAAGTGTAAATGCAAACAACTCAATAACAATATAAAGCAC